ACGTGTCAAAAATCAAAGAAAATTAAACTATACATTTTTAATAAATAAACTTTTTTAGAAAAAATCCCGTTGAAAACGTTTTAAGCTCCCTTTGTTAAATAAATTCGTATTTAATCGATTTATTGGAACACGAAATTTATTTTAAGTTCGTAAAATAGCTAAGTGCCTACGTTTCATGACTATGTGAAAATGGAGTGTGTAGAGTAAAATCTCGCTTTCCTATAGCCCATTCAAAATGACGCGATTTCGCCACAAAACATAACATAAAAAAAATTCGAATTCGAATTTCGAAAAAATCGCTTCGAGGTGCACTGACTCTTGTCTAGATGCACCTATGTACCAAATTTCGTACCTGTGGGTCTATTAGCTTACGCGCAACGCAAACGAAAGACGCACATATACACAGACAGACTCTTTCTTTTATTATATGTAGAGATAACGTACTTTAAAGTATTTGAATTTAAGTAATATTTTAATTCTTTTAAATGTTGGTATGATGTTTTTAATTCGATGTTTAATTTAAGTAATATTTTAATCCAATTAATCGTTGGCGCAATGTTTTTATAGCGGTGTTTTTATTCTCTTCTTTGTTATATGAAAGTAAAGTACTTTTCCGTTTCGCCGGCGCAAATCTCGCCAAGCAGACTTTATTGGCGACCACATACAGTATACACATAAAAACTGTTAACAAATGTTAGTTCTGAGAAATTTTTATTTTCAAGGCATAAACATTTTAATAGCGTTTAAAATTTTCTAAAAAGACAATAAATAAAAGACAATAAGAAAGTAATGCAAAAAGACATTAAAGAATTTACTATGCTTTCATAGTACTACATCCTGATTCGCCGTTTCATATCACGTGACCCCAAGTGATCTCATCTCATGTAAACTACATTACAAAAATACAATTCTTTCGGTAATTATCTACATTAATTTCAAGGTAACTTTTAATTTGGAATGCAAGAATTACTTCAATTCGCACGAATAGCTTAGTCCGAAATTATGTAAAACCGCAGTGCTTTACTTCGCTAGTACATTCTCAATTAGAATTGATGAATTTAACCCTTGACTTTGTCTTTTCTATATTTTCGCCTTCGGGTGAGCGGTGTGATGGCTTAATTACCTCGAATAGCCTTAGGGCATAAAATTGAACTATCTGGTAAAAATTCCACGTAAATGTGTGCCAATATTGAAAGAAACAATCAATCTGATAAGAAATGGCTGCGACTTGTTTTGAAAATGAGGCGTTAAATGTTACCATCGAGGATATTCTGTTTGGCATCAGTTGTACTATTATTGGCGAGTTTATCGCCTGCACCGGCAAAACGGAAAAGTACCGAAAGTAATAATAACCTTACTTTAGTAATTTATACTCATAGTAAATGTATTTATTTACACTTGCCTGCGATCTTAAAAAAAGACATTTTCAACAAAAAATTAATCCATTACTTTTAACGATATTTATTTTTTTTAAAGTTTCGATAAGTAAAAACAGTGTTTTTCAAGATGGCTGATGATTGTAAAAACCGCGCCAACAATTGCGCCAATGTAAATTGCCAAAAATCCGTGCAACCGTCTACCAAAGTAGCACCTTAATCACTCATAAGACGTTTTTTTAAAAACTCATAAGACGTTTTTTCACTCATAGACTCATGAGACCCTTTTTTAGAAAGACAAACAAACATTTATTTAAAGATAAATCGTACTCGTTACTTAATAAGCTGCACGTAACGTATTCGTAAACGTACATAACATAACAAACGTTCTTGCTGCATCGTACCAATATATATTACCACCGTATACCATCTGAATAAAAATATAAAATATAAATCGAACGACATCCAGAAATTAGCTGTTGCCATTTCTCAATAGATATTATGTCTAATAATAACAAATAATTTATAATCGTGCTTACTCTTGCAATAATCACAGTGGTTAGACAAATATGGCTAGCGAGGATTCACTTTTAGGGTTGAGCCCACCCTCCTTCTATTCTAACCTCCTTGAAATGTGTGCCTGTAGTACGTAGGCATATTGAAAGAATAGGTACTATACTATATTCTATTTTCATTTATGTGTAGAATACTCTAGATTAAAAAATTAAAATGAAACTTTCTTTAAGAATTACGAAATTTCTTTTCTACTCTATTATACTGATTCTGGCCCTTTATTCGATCTCAAAATTACTAACTTAATTAATTCCTTCAGTGTTTTTACCTTTTTTTCACTGTGGAAGGCAGTTTACATTTTGTTATTTTGACAAGTCGATACTAAATTCTACCTCTTTGCCAAGCCCTCCTTTTGATGATAATTATTTAATCTTTGATGATGTGGGGATAAAGGCATTAAGCCTATGAGCGTCAGGCTGTGTTCAGACGGGGGCATAAAGGGCATAAGTGTTTAAAGTCGAGCTGCGTTGCCAAGGCAACCAGTCTGTGCTACGTCACATAATCTGGTTTAAGGCTCGTGGCAGAAGGTTCCAAGTTTTCAACTTTACGCCGAGTTTGGGATAAGAGTAGACCAATCAGAGCGAAGCTAAAACGAAGCGGCTTTTTTTAAACGGTTTCGCTGTTACATCAAAGGCGACATTTTTGGAGCACATCGTATCCGAATGAGTTGTAATCGTATTCGAACGAAATAATGAGTTGATCTCGCAAGAAATCTATGATGATGACATGCCTTTTTTAATGAGTTTTCACAATAAATTGAAAAATATGGGTGAAACACGTAAAGCGAAAGTTAAGCTCAGGATCATGCACGCTATGTATGATCCTGTAGATGATTGATCCCATCCATTATTTTTCATTTTATCATGAAAATTCTTTAAAAAATGGATGCTTGCAAAAATTTTATTTTTCTGTGTAAATTATTATTATTACTTTCTTTCTGTTTAATATTTTTTATAAATTATTACTATAATTTTCTTCCTGTTTAATTATTTTTGTATTTAAGAATAAATTTATTGAAAAAGCTGGAAATAATGTATTGCTATTTGCTTTTTAATTACGTGCTCCATGAAAGGAATTTACTTTTAATGAAACTGAATAGCACACATAATTCATAACATAGACTATAATTTAATGAATAGTATTTGTTATTATTATCCACTCTTTATTACTATCATTTGAATGGAATTTTGATCATTAAATTCATGATATTTCTCTCGTAGAAACTCCTGGATAAGGTATGAATGTTTATAATTTTGTCGCATTTGAAGACTTGGGTACCTAAAATTTGTCAATGTGAAATTACTTTTGAGATATTGGTCGTAAATAGAAATGACAGCATATATTGAAATCAAACTCTTTTTGGTGCTTTAATATGCATGTCTGCCAGTGAGTGAAGAATTGTCATAATCTGTCAGCAAATGAAAAATCATTAAAAGTAATTACTTCTGACAACAGACGTGGATGAAACTTACATCTATGACATCTCACAGCAGCATACCAGAGTTTGCATTTGAATTACTCCATAAAAATTCCTGAAAGTTATTGTTTACTTTGTATATTGTATTCTCTCGAATGTAACCCCCCCTTTTTTTTTTCAGAAAAAAGCATATGAAATTCAGGGGGTGCGGCTTATACATGCCAAATTATTAGATTAGAAATAGGTGCATACAAACAGCTGGCAACACAGGCAAAATGTATTTAATGATTGAGCATAAAATACATTGTTGGGTGAATGTTTCATAAGTATTGTACTAGTTTAGTTGTGTTTGCTGGTCATGGTGACCAGTTGTGGGATACTAGTACTTGTGATAATTGATACTGGTAGTAGTGCAGCCAACTACTGCAGTGATCGACAGTGACAGTGAATAAGGAGTGCTAAGCACAGAAACATGTTTCTTTTGATTGGAAATTAATAATAATAATAATAATAATAATAATAATAATAATAATGTATGGTAAGTGCTGTTTTCCGCTTAACTACTTTCACACCTGCGAAAGGGGAAAATATTATATACAGGCTATCTGTCACTTATCCTTAAGATTCTTTTTTTAACTAGGCATAATTAGAATATCGTATTTCTCCTAAGAGAAATTATATATAAAAATTGAAGAAGGTTTTATCTATATAAATATGCATGTGCATGTTTATAGTATAGAGAGTACAATGCAGAAATATTCCATACTGCTTTGCAGAGAAATATGTGCCAACCAAGTGTTGGTCTTTCCGAAAAAATATCTCTACACCATTTTGTTCTTTTTCTTTTTTTTACCTTCTTCCGGTGTCTCTTGGCTTTTAAGAAGGGCAGATAAAAGAGCATTCTGTTGAACCAGTAAAACTTTGTGGTGAGCTGAAAAAGCCATGACTCAAAATAAAGAAAACAAGCAGAGCGAGCGCGGGAAATCAATCGAGCTAGGAAACAGAGCGCGTGTAGACACATCCACGCATGCGCAAATTTAGCTTCTCTCATTGGCCACAGCTTAGAGCCCCGTATCGCAGGTATGAAGGGAACTCCCGTATTTTATGCCCTTATGACTATGCCTCTATGGTCTTTATGCCGGCGTCTGAACGCAGCTTAATTGAACCATTCCTTGATCTTTGATCTTTATTATTCCAAGTTCTTCAAAGCAAAACACTTAGAGAGATTATCAACGCGCCATGGTTCATTCCAGATTTGTATATCCACCGTGATCTCAAAGTAGACATAATTCAAGATTATATTCAAACAGTTGCCAGAAATTTCTTCTATTCTGTTCTCACTCATCCTAAGAACTGCATCAACTCCCTTAGATGTTCTCCATTTCCCAGAGAAAAGCATAAATATCCATCTGACATTCTCCATCATTAACATATTTTACTCATACTAGACCCTTCAATTCACTGATTTGGACCTTTCACCGAAAAAAAATATGTTTGTAAAGTCTCTGGAGTTCATGATACATTGATAGCTAATGCTTCTATAAAGGGTATCTCTAGTAGCTCTACTGATAGCGTAATAGCTTATTTTGGGCGCAAGCGAACATTGTCTTTTAAAAATGGCAACGAGTGTTATAAACAAATACTGTTTACATTCAAGAAGCATGTATTTCGCGAAACCTTTGAAATATAACAGACTTTTGTCTTCTCTTTTCCTTCGCAGAAGTATTTCGATTCCTTCGAATGTCTGTGTACAGAAACTCAATAAGCGAACACTTTTAAAGTTGTCAGGCCCAGAAACGACTGATTATTTACAAAGTATGATAACAAATGACATAAAAAATGTTAAAGAAATTTCAACTTTATATTCCCTTTTATTAAATGCACGTGGGAAAGTTTTATACGACAGCATCATATATAGAATGGATACTAATGAATATTTAGTTGAATATGATGCAACTGCAGCGGAATACTTCCATAGACATTTATTAATGTACCGGTTAAGAAAAGATGTAAAAATACAACCGCTATCTGATTTGTGTGTTTATGCTTTATGTCGTAAATATAATAATAGTAATAAACATCCAAATGTTTCTGAGTTGAAATCCGTGTTGAATAATTTTACTAGTCTGGAAGGATATATATTGTCTGCAAATGATCCTAGGATCGAAGATTTGGGTATACGTATTATAGTTAGGAATTCAACCACTCTCCAGAAAGTATTAAATGAAAGTGTTACAGATAGTGATTGTTATACTCTATTGCGTTACAGATTAGGAATCGGAGAAGGTGTTTTAGATCATCCATGTGGTGAGTGCTTGCCATTTGAAACAAATGTTGATTTTCTGAATGGTGTAAGTTTTACTAAGGGCTGTTATATTGGCCAAGAATTAACTGCTAAAGCACATTTTGTTTTAACTGTTAGAAAAAGGCTTATGCCTGTCATTTTACATACAGAAAATTTAGAGACATTATTTCCACCAGAATGTGCTATCATAAATGAAACTGGACAGAAAATGGGAAGATTACGAAGTCATTTTCAACAATATGGATTAGCTTTGTTGAAATATGAAGAAAGTTTAAAGTCTGATTATCTTAAATTGAAAGGATTTGATTGGAAACTGGATGTCATAAGGCCCAGTTGGTGGCCTAGTGATTTAAAAAACAGTATTTAATTTTAATATAAAAAATTATACTTTTATCAAAATTATGTATATTTCTGAATAAGCTGTTAGATAAGTCTAATAAGAATATTGTAATAAAAAAAATTTGAACCTCATCATAAAGATGATAATTATATTTATTCTCAATTGTTTTTTTCAGAGAATGTTAGTAAATATTCTAAAGGAATATATTTATAATTTAAATTGAGCTATTTCTTTCTCCCTTTCCTAAAAAAAAAAAAAGAAAGAAAAAATATTAGTTTAATATTTGTTTGCAAATTGTAATTGATCATCTAGTCTATGACTATTTAATATATTAATTAATTAAATAATTTAATTATTTTGATTACTTAAATATGCATCATAATAAAATGATTGAAAAAATATGTGCTTTCTGAATATCTACATCCCATGAAATATCGATGTCAACTTTATGAATTAGCAAAAAAAAAAAAAAAAAAAAAAAAAACAGTTGTATGGCTATCTTTATGGCTCATAGGCATTGTTCTTTTCATAAGTAATAATAAAAAGCATTTTATAACAAACAAATTTCATAAGAAATAACCAAATATCTATATTGCCAATAATTATATTTTTGTAGCCAGTGGATACTGTTCGGCAGAATGATGTTTAAAAAAATTCTTATTCTGCAAAATGATGTACAAAAGCTAGCCATGCATGTCCATATCACACATGCATTTAAGAACACATGTAAATCATGTGTGGAATGGACATTGCATAGGTTAGCTTTTATATATATTCTCAAAAATAGGCCCAAAACTAGGCTACCGAATATGAAATCATAGTAATCAGAAAGTACAAAATATCTTTAAAAGTGAAGAAAACCACATATAATACCACCATGATGTGGCATTCAGGCTATTTTTTAGCAAAAATGAGTAATTGCTGAGAATCAGATGTGTATTTCAATCCAAAACTTTATTGCCTGCATATCACATGGATGAAATAGTAAAAGAAAAACAAAAAATTTTTTGAATTAATGATAAGACACAAATGTAAACAAAACCCTGTGGGTGGCACAACCAAGTAGCAAAAAATCTCATGATCAGTGATGCCACTCGGAGGAGTTAATACTACATTTGTATTAAACAAAAACATCAAACATGTTTCAGTTATAAACTAATGTTTCCTACTATGTACAATTAATGAATTTTTAAGCTAATAGTGTTTTGGAGGATACTCAGATAACCGGCACTTGGCGAACTTCCTGAAATCGCGTTCGCCAACTTCGGCGATTCCGAAGTATCGATTTTTCCGGATTATAGATCATCAGTTTAAATCTGGTAAGATGGCATGCAGAAATTATAAAATTAAAAATATGAAACCGTAATTTATAAAATAAAGAGCAATATTGATCTAAAGGATATCAAAATTTACAAAAAGAAAAAGCTAAATATTTATTTGGTTACTTTATTAAACATTTCTTTCAATGTAAGTTGTTTAATTTGCTTCGTTTCATGTGATAATACTTTCTATTTAATTCTATTAAACAGACATAATTTCTTGTTTAGTTACAAAGTTCCGCTGTTCAAGTCCTATAATAGCTGTGTCGAGAATACCGACTAATTTGTCAATCGAAATTTTTTCGTTTTCAATAACCTCTGAGTCACTTTCCTCACTATCGGAAGCGAATTATAATGACGAGGAACTTGATTTAAATCATATCAAAGACCGAGTACATCGACATGAAATACTACATTTAGTAAAGAATTATAAGCCAAATAACATAAAAATATCTGCCCTGAAGATAAGGATAGTGCTGACAGATCAACTTCCAATTCATTGCGCGCCATGTCGTTTCCCTCCCCCCCACAGAGCAGCGTGAAATTGATAAACATATTTCGGAATGATTAGATAATCAAAGGATATGCCTTTATCCATTTTTTGCAGCAATTCCACTTTCTGTTTAATGGACTCCGAAAAATACGTTCGCTTTGTAGATCCTTTACATATTAGTAAATATATATTGGAAATTCTATTTGACATAATCGGAAGTTCAAGCTTACTTTTATAAAATTGCTCTTACAGTCTCCAAAAAATAATAAGCCGGATCCAATTCAAAGATTAAGGAACAACGCAATCTGCAACATTAACTAAAATAGATAATTAGATAATTTTAGCTTATATCGTCCGTTATACATTAAACGCGCATGCATAAATGTATTATGCGCATGCGCACATGTATATTGGCAGCCGCAAAGCTCTTACAAGCATGTGTAAACGCCTATGCGCATGCACAGAAAGTTTTTAGCTTTGAGGTCCGGATTATGGGTGTCTGAATTAACAACTTTTGACTGTACTAAAAATATGAGTCAATTTCTTTTGTTGTCTTCAGAAATGAGGTGGTCACTTGGAGAGGATTCTGTAACTTTTTATTATTTCTTTTTCTGCATTGCAAGTCTAGAAATTCACCATAAAAATCATATTCTACATTAATTTCAATAATTACTGATATTTATGAAGTGTAAAAATTCTTTTAATTTTTGTGAGTTGCATGATCATTTGTATCGGGTATGAAATTTTCTTTTTTTTATTTGATATTCTATTTAAAATGAACAGCTTCAAAAACTTAGGTTGCTGAGAGAGTTAATATCATTAAGATGATTCATATACCTAGTTCCTGTTAAAAAGCTCAGTTGTTAAATATTTTTCATCATTAATTACTGCAGCTGTCAGTATATTTCTTTAGGGGCTGAATATCCATGGGTCATAACTTTTCCACAAATCATCTTCCCTTAGATGCTTAGTTATTCATGAACTACCCTGAGGATTTCTCGTTCTCATAACATTTAGCTAAACAAAATTTAGATAAATGCTCTATTAAAAAACTTTACTGTGTTTCCTCACATACATTTTAGCACAAATCCTGAAAGTTTGAAAAATATTTACATTAATTTCCCCCACCTCAATGTGTTTAGAGAAGAACTGCCCTAAATTTTAAAATGGATTGATCCACATAATGATTGTTTTTGTCTTACTAACAAACTCTCACAAACTACCTGTAAAGGTCATTCTAAGCCTTTCCATTCTTACTGTTAAAACTTATTCCAGTCTAATACACTAGAAATGACATCTCGCAGAGAAACAAACATGAACTGATGTTCAGTCTATGATTTTGCTGATTCAGCTATACATTCACCTTCTCTAATTATTTATGAATGTTTAGATTCCGAAGGAGTAACAGAAACAACAATAAGAATAAGGGAAATTCAAGTTACAGGGAAGTAGAAAAAGATAGCTTATTAGATATTATAATGTTAATACTACTATGTATTCTTATTGGAATGTAGTTTTCTTTTAAAGAACTAGTATTGTAATAGTTATTTGTAGTTTATCCATGACTACTTTTCATTTGTTATGTTCTTATAGTAACTACATCATTTGGAAGTCTAATTTTTCCATCTCAATTTTTGAATGTTAAAATTAGTATAAAAAGAGGACATTTACTGTATCTAGTAAGTTAAAGAAAAAACAAATTTAATTCTTCAAATATAAATTTATGATAATTAACATATCTTCTAAAATACTGTGTCAAGTAACTTTTTATCATTATCTGTAATGATAATTTTCTTTATACACACACATACACATGTAAGATAAAAAAAAAATAGGAAAAGCAAAATTATAACTTATTAGAAATAAACAATAGCCCTTAATTCTTCATTTTAATTTTATATGCCAATAACCAGATGCTACATCTAAATGTAGAAAATACTTTTGCATTTGTTAATTGGTCTAGTACTGCACCTGTTTCAGGTATAGATGTGGAATTTGTTTTTTAATGTTTGCTGTAATCAATACATAATCTAGTTTTTGCATTTTCATCTCTTTTATAGGCTAAAGTTACAGGGGCAACATAGGACTTAGATGATGGTTTAATGATACCCACATGCAATAAGTCTTCTCTTTGTTTTTTAATTTCATTATTATTTTTAGGCAAGGTCCTGTGTAGTTTATAAGCTGCAGGTGTAGTTTATAGGTTCTGAAGTCAATATTACTGTTGGAGGTTCACATGATATTTACTATTTGCAAATATATGACTATAATTATTTTATAATATCTGGTCATTTACATAAGAATTTTCACACTTCTTGTTTTCAACAATATTAAGATAGCAATTTTCCTGTTCATTATTTTCCCATAAATATAAGAAATTACTCTGTGAAGTATTATTTAATTAAAGACCTTCACTTATAATCATTTTAAATTGATATACCTCATAATTAGTAAAATTCAGTTGCAGTTTAAACAAAGCGACATTAGATGAAGACAGTAATAAATAATTTATCTGGATATACTTTTAGTTGGGACACACTGTACCATCACACTGGTATACCTTATCATCTAATAGAACAGTTAACAGAAAACTTGACCTAAAATAAATTTTAAGAAGTAAAAATATAGGAAAATTTTTATTTTATCTTGCTGTTACTCTGAGAAAGAGAATTTTAGCCGCCTCCCATTTCTTCAGAATTTGCACAAAATAACAACACTGTTAGCTAACTACAACAGCTAATGATGCTAACAGCGAAGTTATTGGTGATATGTATTAGTATGCATATAATGTATGTATGTAAATGTGATTTACCTATGTGCTTTATTTAGTATTTAAACAGTGAAATTAGTCTATATAGTATGATAAACTCTTTCCCCTCATTCTGCAATTTCATTATCAAAATACCCAATTAGAAAACCCTAATAAATTTTAGAAAAAAATTTAGCAAAATAGGGGTTCTTGAATGAATATGCTACTTTCCCCAATTACTTATTTTTTAAATTATAAGAAGCTATATTAGTGGCTGAGTGGTTAAGACTGCTGAATACTGGCAGTTTGACTTAGGTTCAAATCCAGGCAAACAGGCTAGGTGCATTGTTAGTTTTCTCCACGTGTAATGTGAATATAAGTCAGTTTTCCCTTAGAGAGTCTTCCACAAAGTCATTCCTTCCATTAAGCAAATAGCTCTCATGCGCTTTGATGTATTCAAGTGACCTAACCTTAAATTCTAGCACTGCATTGCAGATACAGATATAAATTAAGAGATAAAAAGGAATACACAGTGAGCTCTAAGAATATCAACCATACTATAGAGAATTT